CCCTACTACTAAATATCAGTAAACTAATGCAGGCCATAAGTTATTACTCTCATTTCTGTTGTCTGTACAATTACTTATCCCTACTGCAGAGTACGTTTCTCTGTAAACTGTTGAAACTTGCCTTGTGAATCTTGTTATTCAGTTAAAATATTTTTGGCTGTATGGACAATTTGCCTTCAAATGTCTGCATAATGGAGGATATCTGAATGGAGAGCAAGAAAACATTTTTAAAGTGTTCCTTTATATCTTGTTGATGTATTATTGTACTTGACTAGCAAAGCACCTTTCAGTATTCCCTCTTTGAAAGTTCTGCTGGGCATTTAGGTCAGTTTTAAATGTGAGCACTTGTGATAAGCAACATATACTACGTACTTCTTGTAATAATTTGTTTATGTATTATTAACATGCTTGTGTAACTAAATGAGTAAATTTGTTAATCATCTTTTCTATGTGTCTTCTGTTAAATAGTAAGTTTTGGTGTTTTTTTTGTTTTTTTTAAAGATAAGGCAATTGTTAAGAGAGTTTTATGGGCTTATGATATATTTCAAACAAGTGACTTCCATTACAATAGCTTTTCTTACTGGAAAAACTGTTGGAAACTGCTTTCAAATGTGTATCTTCAAAAAAACTTCAAGGTAGAAATTTTACAACAGTATTTAACTTGTTGCCTTTATTTACTTGATAACAAATGTAGGTACTGTAAAAGAAAGTAGGATGATTGCTTAAAAAGTATCTCTTCTTAACAGTTCTGTAACTTTTAATGACAATGTGTACATGTGCACAGTGGATTCATTGTTGTAGTGACTGTCTTGTTGCCTTGCTCAGACTTTCCATATTCCAATGTGTGGTGAGTATCAAGGAATCTAAGATCCTGTAGAGTGGTTTGAGTTATAAACCTAACCTTTTCACTCACTTTATTTGCTAATTTTAACACCATAAAAACTTAAGATTATGTCTTTACAATCCAGGTCATTTGTCCATTCTTCTCAGACCCTGTGCTATACCTGGCATGCACATTATTTGTATTTGTTTGTGTTGCACTAATATAGGGGAAACGGGGGTCTACATTAATTTTTAATTTTTTCCTTCAGACGTACTGTGTCTTCCTGATTTAAGTATTATCCAGTCTTACATTTAAATCTTGTCAAATACACATTCACATCATTACTTTTCTGTATTAGCATTCCGCAACTTTGCTTTTACCCCTCTGTGACCTTTCTGTTAATTTGGGTCTTACTCAATTTTAGGTCAGGTGTTGCTGTACCTTTTAATGTGATAAATTTTTCTTACTTAGCCTTTTTTTTAGAGGGGGGGGGGGATTTGGGCACATCATTATATTTTAACTTTTTTCTAGTTGGGCATTTGTGTCAGAAGAAAAATGTACTGTTTTGCTGCCACTTTGTCCCTGAGGTTTCCTTTCCGCTGCTACAAAAGTTTCATTTTACACCTCTATTTTATGGCTAATTAGGAAAGAGCTAAAATTGGTTGGGATGAGCATCTTGTAGTTCTTTGCATTATTATTTTCTTATCTAATCTTTAGTTTATAATGTTGTGGGGTTATAGTCCGTGAAGACTCAAAACATCTAATCTTGGACCTTAATATGATTGTGCAGTACCTCACACAGCATTTCAACAAAATAAATAAATATCATATTAGTAATTTATTATTCAGTGGTCTATCTTCTTTATTTTTATTATTTTTAAAATGTGTCTTGTAAAATACTTACATCTTGTTATCTTTTAGTTTTAAAAGACATATACTGGCGGTATGGAGGCATGATTGTGGCCATTGTTAACTGTGATGAGTGAAAGTAAACAAAGATAAAAATTTACTATTTTTGTAAAAGAAATGGAATTAATTCCCTGTGTGTACTTGAGTACTATGCCATTGTCATTCATTGCTATTTTTTCCTCAGGTATATTCTGTTTTACTCTTATGACATTTCTATTAATACATAATTCCACGTTTGTAGAATGAGGTTGCTCGGGTACCATCAATCAACCATTTCATTAGGTTTTCATATTTGGCAGATATTTTCAAGTAGTTGGAGAATCTTTTATTGCATTCTTGTTGTCTAGGAATCAACATCTAACATTGTGATTAAAACAGTAAAACTGTAGTTTGTTAAGTAAATAATTTACCAACTTTTTAAAGGTATGTAAATCTTACTTTTTCAAAATGTGGCTGTATACAACCCATAGTATGCTACAGCTGCAGCCAAATGTACATAGCAAGGTCTTGAATTGTTAAGGGATTTTGTAACCTGATAATGTGTATACGTATGACGATACTTAAAGGCATTAACGTCCTTGAAATTTTAAAAATGGTTAGATCAGATTCTATTCTGAAAACATAATTTAATGCTGTGTAAGCTCTCTCATTTCAAAAGAAAATAGTTCAAGAATCTTAAGAACATTTTACAAGATTTTTAACTATATTGGTTCTTGTGGAGTTAGTACTGAAATTAAATGTCATTCCTAATTTGACATAAATAAATTTTAAGGCTGGACATAGCGTTTCTTTACAATTGATGAGCATTAATCTGTGTAATCAATTCTTGCCAGACCTTTTTCTAACTGTAACTTCAAGGAATTTCATAAGAACAATCCAAGATCAACCAGAATTTACAGAAACAGGAAGTAAGTTTTGTATTGGATTTTAGTTCCCTTTGTACATCTTCTGGGTAGACATTATTGTTGAAAATAGAACAGGCCTATACTCACAGTCCTAATGTGGTAATCTGTTTCAGCTATGCTATCGTTTTTTGTTCTGTTTTGTCTAGTACAATAAAGAAAATAAAAGTTGACATTAGTGTTTGCTGGTTTGTACCCTTCTCTCTTAATATCAAATTGATAATTATGAATAATAGTGATAAAATTGTTTTATTTTTAAAACAATATTTAAATTTTACAATCGGTTTTCTGCTTGCTTAACCAGGACATGGTCCATATAGGCGCCTCTCAATAAATTTTCCTCTGGAACTCCCAACTTTTCCATTAAGCTTTTGGCAGTTTTCTCACCCTCTTCGACTGTTTCAGAGTCAGATAACTGAACCTAGATAACGAAAAAGCAATGAGAGGTATTAATGAATGATTAATGCTTGATAGGTAATTAGTTTAAGGCGCAGAAAATCTGCGTGCTTTACCTCCAGCTCCATGAAATCTCCAAGTCCTTCAACCCTATCAATGTGAACACGTGTTTGACCAATCATTACAAGGGTTCTAGATTTCTTCAAGACACCTTTCACTTTCATGGCTCGACTAAGGACAGATTTCAAGTTTGTGTCAGCAGGGAGATTGCAGCACTCGTAATCACTGAGTTTTGGACCGTCTTCATCTGGCCTATCATAGAAAACAAGTTGAGGATCTTGCCCCTGTAGAGAAAAAAAATCATTACAATTCATGCTTGGAGTAATTTGCTGGCTTTGCGTATCCAAACACCTTTACAAACCTCCTGTTCCCTCAATTTCAAGCGACCATTTGGCACTTCATAAAAAGTATCAACTTGTTTGAAAGTTGTATCAGTAGCGCCACTAAGTTCCTTTACTTTGTGCAGGAACGCTCCAAAATTTGAAATGACAGCCTTGATTTCAATGTTTCTCGGCATGTTAAGAACTGTCAGATGAACAACAGAGCAACAACTGATACATACTCTTTATTAGGACAATAACTGCAATTTTCGACAGGGTGTATTCAAGGACAGGACAAACCTTTGCAATACTTTGTCCTGCTAGTGAGTTGTCAACACCCTCAAAGGCTCAAAGTGGTCAAAGCCTAGGTAAGCACTAGGCGCCCAACCAATAACCAACCAACCGGCCCGGCGTTCGGCGTTTCGTTGTTTAAACAAAAAACAACGTTGACGTTTAAGCGACAATGATTTTGTTCCAAGACGCAAAGTTGGAGTTGGACTACGTCTGCGTAATTTGAAAAAGTATTCCTAATATTTGATAACACTTGTTATTATAATTTTTTGTTTTAAGACTAATTTTGGACATGACTTCCGGTTCTCGGCGGTCAAGCAGCTTCCGTTTTAAGTTCATGTGCCGCGCCACACCACTCAATGGAGACTGGAGCTGGAGATTTTAAGCTCAAGTTTTAAGAAAAGCCTTTCTACAGCTGTGACAAACTCTAGAAGGGGTATATGGTGGTTTAATCACAATCAGTAAACTGTATTTTCTTAATTTTTACTATCTTTATTAGACTCTGATTCTAATAAATGTAAACATTTATAAAACTTGTTAATCTTCATCAGAATCTGTCTCCTCTTCTGAAATAATCCTCTTGTCCTCTAACTCATCAGCAAACAAAGATTGAAACACAACATACTCTTCTAGAGTAACACCTGCAGTTTTTGTTGCAAATTCTTCTTCAGACGTGTCATATATCTCAGAGAGACTTGCATTTCCCGAGGGAATACTTTCACTTTGTTTCAGATTTGGTGGTTTATACTTTCCACATTTATCCAAAAACACGTGTCGAATCATTACTTCCTGTAGAGTGCAACCAAGCACAGTTGATTTTGAATACTCAGCAGCATTCCTAGCAATCATTACTTCACTTAAATAATCAGAGACATTTTGCAATTCTGTTAGACTTTGGAACATGATCTGAGGACAGTTCATAAGTATTTTGGCAACTGCTTTCTTTGATTTCACAATGGCTTTTAATTGCTCATATTTTGGTTCAATTTCAATCTTGCCAGAAACACTTAAAAACATAGGGCACTCTTCAAGCAATTCTTTTACTAATTCTGTTTCTTGGAAGCATTCCACCCAATCATCCCATACTCTGTTAATTTTCAAGCTTGACATTTTCAGCAATGCAGGGTGCTTTATTACCGTTAAGACACTTTTTACAGGAGATAGTCCCCGATATAATAAGATCTCCATTACTTTTTTCCATTCATGGGGATCACTATTTGATAAGATGGGAATATTTACAACCTTTTGAAGGATCCTCTCGTTTTTGACACCATAATTTTTTATCAGTTCCAGCGTTAAACTATTTGCAGTGTCATTGAAATTTGACCTCGGAGATACATTTGTCGTTGAGTACAGAATAGGAACTTTGTTCACAGTGTCCGCTGGGAAGCACAAGTTATGTCTAAACATTCTTATCATAGTTCTTAAGGATCCAGTCTTCATGAAAGGGTTCATTTTCTGGTTGATAATGTTGGATCTGCAACAAATCATACAATGCTAGAATATATTTTTTTTAAGTTCTGCTGCAAACCACTGTGTTTTAATGTAAGAGAAAATTTTAAAAAACAATACTGACAGTACCTATCAAAGATATTATTCGTACTAGTGATACATTTAAAGAAATGAAATAATGAAAAGCAATTACAAAGTAAAGTTGTTACGAGATAGACATTAAAATTTACTATCTTTAGTCATGTCTCATATGTTTTCATAACATAAGGGAAACATAACCTTTCAATGGATCACAGTGCAACCCCTGCCAACTCAATGTTAAAGCTTTGTCCACTATCTCCGCGCGGCTTCCCGTACTGCCACCTTTTGGACAGCGAAATTCCCAACTTTTGTCCCGCACTCCGAAACGAAATTTCCCGCACGAATTCTGAAGTGAAAATTTTTTCTGGCCTCCGGGCGGAGTCGACCC